ACACACACACACACACTCACTCACTCACACACAAACACTCACCCACACACAAACACTCACCCACACACAAACACTCACCCACACACAAACACACACACACACACACACTCACGTATATATTATGTATACACATACACGCACACACACTCTTATTAACTCACACACTCACTCATACACACTCACATATTTAAGTATACACATAGACGCACGTACACTCACTCATACACACACGTACACACATACACACACAAACACACGCACACACACATACACACACACACACACACACACACACACACACACACACACCCCTCGTCTTCGCTCAGTGATGACGAAGCCTGCCGCGCGGGCTCAGCCGCAAAGCGGGCGCGCAACATGGCCCACGGTGAGATCTGGTTAAGTGGCGAGGGAAACCCCGCGAGACGCCAAAAATAGATGGCTGAAATACGTCATCAAAATTTCGGCCAATCACAGAGATGTGTTACATGCTCGCTGTAGCTTCATGTATTTTTTTTCCTCTACCATGGGTTGCCGTCATAAGACAGTCTTGTCTGTATCTGAAATCTTCCCTCTCTCACACTTCCTCCAGCCCACGGGGCGGTGCTACTCACGGGGGTGTCTTTAGGCTTTAGGCCATTCCCAAAGGGGTAACACTAACATGTTTTTATGCACAGTAGAATTGTAAATGGGCTGAATCATCAATGGCATGTTCATAACTGTGCCTGAACTGCATCAGGGAACTGCTGATTTTTCTTTCCTAATCCTTACTATCGTCAGTTTTCCTCTACTTCTTTTGTATGTTTGTCACACTCTTGTGACCCGCTATTTCCGGGGTGCCTTGATAGTCGAAGCAGACTTTGTGCTGTTGAAGCTAGAGAGGTGAGCAGAGTAGGCCTGATTCCTTGTATGGACTTCTCTGTTGACATCCAACCCTTGGCGCTCATAATATGACCTTATGCCGTTGCGAGCGCCGTAAAAACCCTACTAAAATAAACTGACCATATCACTAAAGACTATTTTTTCTAGTAATCTCCCTCTTGCATGGCCACTCTGTTGCCAGATTCCGGCTGGAGTATTCTGCCCAGGCCTGACCTCCACCCAAAAACCTCCCACGTTTACCTCTTCTGTCGTGTCGTACATGTCGGAGTTAAGCTATGATGGCCACCACGGAGACTCACTTTTGAAGGTAAGCCTGTCTGCTTTTTTCTGACTTGACTCATGTTCATGTATGTATTATTATTGTAAGATCACGCAGCGGCAGATACGTACCACTAAGAACAAAGAAAGAAAGATACAAAAGAAGTTTCTCACCATTTAGTATAAAGCTACTGTAGCTGTCAGAATAAACATCAATGTGTATTGCTGTTTTGAAATATACATGTGATAAATTCCTGCATGACATCGAATGATGCATCTAATGTTATATACATTATTGTCAGTTTTACTTGTCACTATTGAATTTTAATGAGAGTAATATATAATTGAATTTCCATGTACACCGTGTTTACGCCCTGTACAGTTATGAAAAATGTCCTTCTGGAACAATAAAATATTATCTGATCTTATATGTATATTTATCTATAAATATATATAGAT